GGGGGGGGGAGGGCCGTATTCATCTCTGTATCACAGCGCGGCGGCTGCACGCGCCGATAAAGGCAGAAGTCGGCCGGAGATGGCTTCAGCAAGCGCTGATAGCAACTGTTGTCCCATCTCGCATATTGATCAGCGCGGGATGGTGGTAGTGCACTTCCTCCACGGGACTACACTGCTGAGATTTTTTCTCACTGCGTGCGTGCATGTGTAAGTGCGTGCGCGCGCTGGTGTGCGTGCGTGCGCTGGTGTGCGTGCGTGCGTGCGTGCGTGTGTGCGTGTGTGCGTGCGTGCTTGTGTAGACCAGTGTAATGTGCACATTGCCGATTTGCGCGGGGCGTGTGATAGGACGGTTCACCCGTTTTGCGTAGGAAAAATTGCTCTAATTTACTAGATTCGCCCCCATGAACTGTGATGTGAACTTGACATCTCTTTCACGGTGCTGCCATTCGTGTAACCTGGCATTAATGTTGCATCGTTCTGTTGTAATGCGAGAAACCTGACAGCGTAATGGCAATGGAGAAGATCTTGCCGGCTTTTTGTACATGTGTTGTTAGTGTTACAGGAAGTCTGAATATTAAACACACCAGGCGGCTGCCAAGCTGTGCTGCGTACACCCGGTGGTGTTCCCTGATCAGGGGTGTCAGGGGGCCGGCTCTATATTGGAGCTGTTAGACGAGTGTACGTACAAAACGGCTGTGAAGCTAGCTTACAGAAACACCCACCTCTCACACCTCACCCCACCCCACCCCACCCGTGGTATACGTGTTGCATGTCAATACGTTCGACTTTCTCAAAACAGTACTCGTAATATGAACTTATATTGGTTTTTAACAAAGCTAAGGCTTCAGAAGGGGTATTGGGGTGAAGCTGGGTAGATAGGTTAGGTATGTTCAGGTTAGGTAAGCTGCGTGGGGCGAACGTTCGTATAGTTTTGAGGTCAGGACTGGAGTCCAACGTGGTTGCCTTCTCTCTGCTTCTTCTTGCGTCTTCTTGTGATTGATTCGATCGTGAAATGATCGTGACCTCGATGATGATGTGATGAATCTGATGATGAGCATGGGATGGATGATGGATGGTTGATCGCAGCACATAGAAACAAAACAGTAGAACTACAGTCGTTATTGCGGATATGTTTAGTAGTAGGTCTCAGGGGAGAGATAGTGAATATAGAAATGAGTTGTGGATATAGAAATCAGTTAACCGTAACCCTAATCCTAACCCTAACCCTAACCCTATCCCTAATTCTAAAATAAAACAAAATTAGCCAAAAATAATAAACAATAAAATAAATAAAAGACAAAATTAGCCAATCAGAGCCGTTTTTGTTAGCGCTTAACGCGCCCTCTAGCGGATCACTATCTCTCCCCTGTGCAAAATTTTATGTTTAGAGGTTCTGCACTTAGTAAATTGCTTGCGACTCCTGCCCCGTAATCATTCACATATTCAGGATAAACGCTACAGCTTGAAAGCGATCTCAGAAAACGCGCGACTGAGGATCAATAAAAGCAGGGATGAATTAATGAAACTGCACATTACAAACGCGAGTTCAACCTTAGCGTGTGCAAAGAGCCTTTGGGAGAGGTGGACACGTTCTTTTCGGGAAGAATTCGTGAAGAACACAATACCCAAAACGCATTAGGACAGCGGAACTTGGACAATAAAGTGGGCAAGCAAACTGACAATAGATTGCCCGGTGGACTTTATGCGCCCCTATTATTGAGACCTGTCTGCTTTTCATAACTAATATTCTGCAGCTAAATCAAAGCGTTCGAGTATCGATGGCCAGCGGGTGATTCCATGCACTAAGAAGCGTTGAACGACAATTAATGAGCTTGTATCTAGCATTTAATGAGTTACCGCGTGGCATAGCCCTGCTGCAACAGATCTCGCTGCTAACTAGCATGCAGTCATCTGCTCCCATCTCTGCTAGACTGCTTAAAGCTGAATGTCTTTAGATGCTGGCTTAGTCTGTCGCTGAAACCACAAGTAGGCTTTCCAGGAGCCTGTGGTACAGAATCTCAGTGGAATTCTCATCAAATGTCAAAGGAAATCGGCTATGTGTTACCTAGCTACCTATCGATTCGTCTCATACGCTCGATCAAAATGTATACGTGAAGGCGCCGTCTAGCCAGGGGCGTGTACAGGATTTGTATGACCTTCAAGCACACACCTGTTCAAGATCAGAGTGTAGACACGTGACTCCTCACACACCTGTTCAGATCAGGATGTAGACACATGACGCTCACAGCACCTGTTCAAGATCAGGATGTAGACACGTGACCTTTCACACACCTGTTCAAGATCAGGATGTGAGCAACGTGACCTTCACACACCTGTTCAAGATCAGGATGTAGACACATGACCTCTCACAAACCTGTTCAAGATCAGGAAATGTAGACAGCGTGACGCTTCACACACCTGTTCAAAGATCAGGATGTAGACACGTGACCTTCACACACCTGTTCAAGATACAGGATGTAGAACACATGACCTTCACACT